CAAAATAGCCCAAACTGGAGCTGGGAATGTGGCTTAGTGGTAGAGTGCTTGCCTAGCATGCATGAAGCCCTGGGTTTGACTCCTCAGTACCAGATAAACAGAAAAAGCCATAAGTGACATTGTGGCTCAATTGGTAGAGTGCTAGTCTTGAGCAAAAGAAGTTCAGGGACAGTGCCTAGGCTCTGAGTTCAAGCCCTGGGACTGGCAGAAAAAAAAAAAGCCCAAACTGGAAAACCCTATAAATTTCATCATCGTGTGTCTAATAAAAATTCATGGTATATTCAAATAGCAGAACATTATGCAGCACTGAAAACAAATGGGTTACTGTTATAATGATATGGATGCATCTCACAAATGTAACGCTAAGTGAGAGAAGCACAAAAAGGAATAAATAAAATCAGGTTAAAAAATCTCTACAAGATAATAGTGATTTGGGGAAGGGGAGAGAGATATTTACCGAGGAGAAACAAGACAGTGCTTCTCTAAATTTTATGAGCAGTAATTACAATTTTTCTATTTTCCAAAGCAAACATTTTCTTGAAGAGTTTTCACCTTCACATACACATATATATATAATAATTCAAATTTATTTGAAATCTTTACATGTATGTACACTTTTCAGACTAGCCTATCCATTTAGAACATTTATGTCCTTGCAACATTGATGTGATTACAGAAGAAAATTGAACATCACTAAGCAATATGAAAATTCAACTCACTGAAGACAAAAGGCACAGAACCACAATTTAAGACCAGCCAATGGGAACAAGGAATAAACCATCCATAGTTAGTGCAGTGGTCAGGCCCCAGTGGCTCACACCTGTAATCCTAGCTACTCAGGAGGCCAAAATCAGAGGATTGTAATTCAAAGCCAGCCTGAGCAGGAAAGTTGGTGAGACTCATCTCCAATAAACTACCAAAAAGCCAGAGTAAATAATGAGGATCAATTTTCTTGGGCACTGGTGGCTCATGCTTGTAATACTAGCTACTCAGGAGGCTGAAATCTGAGGGTCTTCAAAGCCTGCCTGGGTAGGAAAGTCTGTGAGACACTTATCTCGTTAAGTGCCAAAAAAGCCAGAAGTAGGGCTGTGGCTCAAAGTGGTACAGCACTAGCCTTGAACAAAAAAAGCTCAGGGACAGCACCCTGAGTTGAAGCCCCATGACTGACAAACAAACAAACAAACAAACATTCTGCCATAAAAGGGGACATAATTTATGCTTTACACATACCTTAGTAGAGTAAGACTGTTGCTACTAAAAATGGAACTTACTCAATAAAATAACCATTCACTTCTACTCAGAATCACAAATTACTCAGCAGGTCTGAGGTGTCCATAAGGGTTTTGTGTTTCTGATCTTTCTCCCTCGGCTTGACACTGTCCTCTCCCTCATAGCGTGACGCACAGAGCAGCTGCCTGGCGCAGCAGAGGACAGTATGGTAGGCTGACACAAGAAATGCCACACAGCCAAAAGCTAGAATATAAATAGCATTTTAAAAGGGAAAGGATTTTTCTAATAAAAATACTCAATGGGGTGACTTTTGAGGCAAAATATTAAAGTCAGCCTTGAAATATCACTTACTATAATATAAAACTTCCTTTCATGAGATTTGTCTTTCTCTGTAATTCATAGCCTGGTGCTTTCTTATAAACCTTTGAAATAGAATATATTGTATGAGGGATTCAAAAAGCTTTGATTATCTGTTGACAATGGAAGATTATAGGTTACCTTCCTGGTAATTTAGAATTAAAAAATTTAACGTGAATTTTGATGTGGAACCATATTTGAAGATATTATACCCAAAATATATCATTTATCTACATTCTTAGAAATTTTTCATAGATCAGTTTTAAGCAATAAACTGAGTGACATACTCTCATAAGGTATTATTTCTCAACTATTAGTATCAAATGGAGAGATTTTATATTTTCACTATGCCAAGGAGTAATTTAAATAACTCACTGAATCAGTTTTTTTCACATAATACCAGCTGGGTACTGGTGGCTCACACCTATAATCTTAACTACTCTCAGGAGGCTGAGATATGAGGACCACAGTTTAAAGCCAGCTTAGGCAAGAAAGTCAGTGAGACTCTTATCTCCAATGAACTACTCAGAAAAGGCCAGACATGACACTGTGGCTGAAGTGGTAGTATACTAGACTTGAGCATAAAGACGTTCAGGGGACGTGCCCAAGCCCTGAGTTCAAGCCCTGGCACTGGTAAAAATAATAATAATACCAAACAACTCTGCCTCTTGTTAAAGCAAAATGAGTCATCATATGAGCCTCAATTTTTTTTGAAGATAAATAAGCGAACCATAAATGTAACTAAACCCCAATGAAACACATAAAGCAATTAGTTGAAGGAATAGCAATTATCCTTAACATTAACATTGGTATAAAAACTAAACAGGTTAACTTTGTAGAACTAGGTACGAATCTTGCATGGAATGCTCTGCATGACTTTAAATACTTTAAGAACAGAAGCCCTTTCTATCATTTATGAATCCATAAGACACAACTATTTCCCAAGCACATTGCCTTCCTCTTAAATTCTGTCCTTTAACTTATTGTTACATCACCATTGCCTCTTCTTTTCATTAATTTACTTATGTATTTTTTGTGGTACATAGGTTTGAACTGGGATGAGGTGGGTGTCTCATGCTTGCTTGGCTTACTCCTTTGGCTTGTGTTCTAATATGTAAGCCACATCTCCTGCCTGCTTTTTGCTGGTGATTATGGAGTCTTTGCCTTCTGCCTGGGCTAGCTTTGAACCTCCATCCTCAGATCTCAGCCTCCTGAGTAGACTAGGTGTGAGCCACCAGTGTCCAGCTCTTCGTTCACTGATAGCTAAAAGATGACTCTTAGTTGCTCTAAACTGCATATTATTTAATTTTAATTTTTTTTACTAGTAATGGGGCTTTTATTTTTTTTAGCGGCTCAAGGTCTTATGCTTGCTAAACAGCCACTCTACCATTTGAGTGATGCCCCAGCCCTATTTACCTTTGGCTGCTATAATTCAGTGCTGTACAGAGTATACCTTACACAAAGGCTGGGTAAATCCTTGCACTATCCAATAAGCTGTGGGAGTGGTCATTAGGCCTTTTCTTCCCATTGTCCATTCAGTAATCACCTAGCTCTAAGTCTAGGCTAGGTATCAAAAGATGAAGTCTTGGGGCTGAGAAGGTGGCTCAGTGGTAGAGCGCTTGCCTTGCATGCTCAAGGCCCTGGGTTCAATTCCTCAGCACCACATAAGAAAAAAGCTGGAAGTGGCACTGTGGCTCAAGTGGTAGAGTGCTAGCCTTAAGCTGAAGAGCTGAGGGACAGCGCCCAGGCTCAGAATTCAGGCCCCATGACCGGACCCAAAAAAAAAAAAAAAAGATGAAGTCTACCTCTGACCTCAAAGAGCTTGTATAGTAGTAATAGAGACAGACATGTAATTAGACAGTCATGCAACAGAGAGACTAATTGTGTGCCCAAAGCAACAAGATGTTTGTTCATTACAGAGGAGGATACCTAAGTCAGCTTCAGAAGTGTGCTGAGAACCTTTTTGCAGATGCAGGCCTGAGACCCATCTTGAAATGAGAGAGTAAAAAGCCAGCTTTTCCCTAATGTCCCCAACTAGAATTAATTGCTTCCTCATCCATGTTCTTCTATTAGAGCTCCATGCAGGGTACCATACTTACCGTCTCTGTGTCAGTCACTCTCTCACTGGGCTGAGCTTGGTGAAGAGGAACCACATCCCTAATTAGCCCAGTATAGCACCTGAAAAGTAAGTAGAAGTGTATCCAACGTTTGCTGAATTACTTTTAAATTCCAGCCATATATCTATTTCTTCCCATACCTTCCTGATGATATTTATTTAATCCTGTGTGGTTTTCCTTTTGACTGTAAAAAGATGATGCCATTTGCTACACAACCATAGAAAGGCTAAAAGGAAAAGGGAAATCACGAGTGTTGGCGGAGCACAAGTAACAGGAATGCTCATGTATGGCTGGAGTTGGTACCTTCACTTTGAAAACCTCTTAGCAGCATCTATTAAAGCTGGCTGTTACAGTAATGGACCCAGTAATTCTACTCCTAAGTATACACTCATACACTCAACATGAATGCATGCATGCTTCACTAAAATATCACCACTTATGGCTACTCCAACCTAGAAAATCCTTATCAACTATAGATGAGGTTAGTGTGTGTGTGTGTGTGTGTGTGTGCACGCGCACGCGGGCGCGCGCGCGCACGTGCACGCACTAGGGCTTGAACTAAAAGCCTCACATTCATGATTAGTTTTTATGCTCAAGATTGGCATTCTATCACTTGTGCTACTCCTCACTTGCAGCTTTTCACTGCTGACCTGGAGATGAGAGTCTCACAGCTTTGTCTCCCCAACCATAGTCCTCAGATCCGAATGCCTCGAGGAGCAAGGATTAAAGGTGTGAGCCACGGGGCACCTGACATTATTTTAATTTTTGCAAGGTGTTGCAATGTAATCCAAGCTGGTTTGGAGTTCACTATGCAACACAAGCTGGCCTTGAATTTAGGATCCTCCTGCCCCTGCCTTCCAAGTGATAAATATTTAATACATTTTCCTTGAAAGATGGAAAATATTGATACAAAGTATTTTAGATCATTCACAATCCTTCCACCTAGAAGTAACTGCCATTGCTATTTTAAATCATCTCCTTCCTTTATTTATCCTCCGCCTCCATAGAAGAGGAGCCGGGGAGTGGGGTCGCCAACAGTCTTTAAGCTGTGCTTTTGGTCTACATTTCCCTCTTTTAAACATGTTGCATCAACGTGCATTCTCACTAATAGTAAACCCCACGCAGTTTATTATTTTATTTTTAAGACGGTGGGGCCTAACACAGGACAGGGGATCTGCCCTTCTGCAGGCTCCAGGCATCGGAGCACCGCTCTGCCGCTCCCGACGCCCCCCGCCCCTCCCCTGCCGGCGCGTGCACGCGAACTCGGGGCAGACGCGCGCCCGCGGCGTTGCCGTGGTTGCCGTGGAAACCAGCCGAGCGGGCGTCTGTGTGGAATCCGCGGAACCGCCAGCGTCTCTGCCGGGGGTCGAGGGGGACTGGGGGCTCAGGCATGGAGCTGCCAGACCCTGTGCGCCAGCGCCTGGGAAACTTCAGCCGGACGGTGTTCAGCGACTCCAGCCGGACGGAGCCGGAGCACCATGAGGGTCCCGGTGAGTGGCCCAGGCCCACGCACGGGTTTTGGAACGTTCATGTCTTGCCCGAACCTAAAATGGCGGTTTCGGCCTCAGCCCCGTCTCCGCAGTGCGGAGAACTCGGCCCAAGGAGGGATCTGGAGCCCGGCCTGGGCTGGTCGGGTGCACTGGGCCGGCTCCCTGCCAGCGCAGTGCCGGAGGACGTGCCAGCATTTCCGCCCCGTGAGGCCCTGCGCTGCCTGCGAGGAGACGCAAGTAACCAACATAAAGAGCGTCCTCTGCAGCGCAGCCATCCGCCAAGGCCTGCCCTGGCTTTGCCGTCCGGGGTGGGAGGCCGCAGGAAGAGGCTCCCGTTCCTGACCTCCCGTCCCCTCCCCAGTGAAACGGCGTCACCCGTTCTGTTCTCCCAGCCGGAACCACGTTTCCCCTGGAGCTGTTTTCCAGCAGAGAAGACCATTTCCCGAGTCACTTTCAACCTCGGTCCATATCCAGGGACAGCTGCCATGTATGAGAACCTGCATCCACACTTCCCCCGCCTGCCTTCTTCTCCCAGGTCTAGATACAATTCTTCTCCTAAATCTAGTAACAAAAAAACCCAGGATTCTACCTTCAGCATGATGACAAGTGATAATACAGTTTGCTCCAAAACGCCTTTGCCTCCTAAGTCGTCATGATAGCACACTGTCAGCCAAACACATATGGTTTTCAGTCATTGAATTGTTTTCCTTTCGGAAAAGGTTGGCTGTGAGGAGCTTTTGTTTTTTTTTTTTAAGTGGTCAGAGGAAAAAGTCCCCATTTTTGCTCCTTGATCATTTGCGTATCCTCAGATGTAGGCTTTTTTTCATTATGGATTTAGGATGACACACCGAGAAAAATGTCAACAATTAGGTTTCTATATTTCTGACTCTTAAGTTGAGGCTTTATAGGCACTAAACTCTGATGACGCATGTTGTGCAGGGTCAGTACATGTTTACTGAAAAAGCCAGGTAATATTTTACATTTCATAGGTTGTACGTGGCTACTACCATAGACAGTAGTTGTAGTGCTTGCATGGACATGGCCCTGTACCAGTAAAGCTGTAGCTACAGACACCAAAATATGAATTTCGTAGGGTTCGGATATGTCACAAAACATTACTCAATCATCTAACCATGAGAAAACCATGTTTTTAGCTATCAATTCAAGAACATTGTTGGCCAGTAGTTTGCCCAACTACATTGATGTTTTAATTTAAATTATGTACATAGAACTCAACTTGAATTTTTGTGTAATTTGAACTCTCATGCCAGGTAAGTGCTCTATCACTGAACTTCATCCCTAACAGTTTTGGTTGTTGGGGTTTCTTTTTGTGCCAGTCTTGGGACCTGAATTCAAGGACTGGGCACTGTCCCTGAACCTTTTAGCAGAAGACTAATGCTCTACCATTTGAGTCACAGCTCCACTTCTAGCTTTTTAGTGGTTAACTGGAGATAAGAGTCCCATGGACTTTTCCTGCCCGGGCTGGCTTGGAACCTTGATCCTCAGATCTCAGCCTCCAATATAACTAGGATTATAGGCATGAGCCACCCTCACTCAGTTGGGTTTTTAACTGTGTTTTGAAAACATGGTCTCACTAAGTTGCCTTAACCTCCTGGGCAAATTTTTGAGTATAATTTCTGCCCCTAAAGTACTACAATGTTTAGTTTAACCAATTTATCATTATTTCCCCACATTTTTAAAAGTAGATTTATTTATACTGCAGTGACAAGTTTATATTATTCTCATATCTACAGCTGACCACAAATTATACCATTATGGATTTAAAAAAGTTCTAGGATGGGGGTGGGGGGAGAGGCTGGGAAGGGATGTGAAGGGTAAACAAAGGAAGAGACTGCAATGCTTGATAAGAAATGTACGCATTAACCTGCCCATGTAATTGTAACCCCTCTGTACATGTGTTCACAAAAAAATTAAAATTAAAAAAAAATAAATTTAGGGCTGGGAAGGTAGCTCAGCAGTAGAGCGCTTGCTTTGCAATGAATGAGGCCCTGGGTTCGATTCCTCAGCACCACATAAGCAAAAAGAAAAAAAAAGCCGGAAGTGGCGCTGTGGCTCAAGTGGTAGAGTGCTAGCCTTGAGCTGAAGAGCTGAGGGACAGCGCCCAGGCCCAGAGTTCAGGCCCCACAACTGGACCAAAAAAAATAAATAAATAAATTTACCCAAGCACCAAAAAAAAAAAAATTCTAGGATGGTAAGTTGTCTCCAGGTTAAACATTTTAAGAATTCATTGCTTTATCATTGGCAATTTAATAACTTAGTTCAGGAAAAATAGATGATAATAATCATGAAAGACCACGATTATTTCTTACATTTTAAAATTATTGTGATAGCTAAAAAGACTTAGCTGTAGAAAAAAATTTAAAAATTATCTTCAAGATATATTGTACTCAAATGGGTATATTGAATTGAAACCCCTATGTACAGCTTCTTAAAGATAATTTTAAAATTATTTTTTAAATGTTAAAGTCTTGCTGAGTGCTGGTAGCTCACACCTATAATCCTCGCTACTTAGGTGGCTGAGATTTGAGGAATGTAGTTGAAAGCCAGCCAGGGCAGGAAGACTCTTATCTCTAATAAACCACCAGTAAACCACCAGAAAACTGGAAGTGGTCCTGTGGTTCAAAGTGATAGAGTTCATTGAGCAAAAGAGCTCAGGGACAAGCGCCCAGGCCCCAAGACCAACCAAAATAACAACAACAATAATGCTATCAACAACAATGTTAAAGTCTTTGTAAAATCTTACATTTAGAGAATGTTAAAATGTATATCTACTCTTCAGAATTTAGTTGCATTTAGGATGTGTTTTATAGTACTATACCTTTAAAATCTGGTTCTTAATTGAGGGCCCTTAAGTAAAAGCAAAAGGTATTATGTAGTCGGTGTTCAATAATTGGAACTCATCACAATGGCAAAGGTCATGTCCTATGACAGTGTGCTTTCACAAGTTCTGTTTATGTGTATTTAGTATTCACAATGTATAAATCAAGTTATTAGTGATAGGAGGGTCTTAAATCTGATTGGAAATGGTCTGTGCTTACATAAGAGTATAAGTGTACACAGATGAGAAGGAAAGTGGACTAATACTATTTAGTGTCAACTCTGGATGCCACAGTACTATGGGAGAAAAAATTTATAATATCCCTAACCTTTATAAGCAGCCTGTGAGGTAGTCTTAGTGTTCCCATTTCACATATGATGAAGTTAAGGCTCAAAAAGATTAAATAATTTATCGTGGCCAAGTACCATTGGCTCTTTCATGTGACTGTATATCCTTGGTACTGATACCTAAAATCCTTAGTATTAATCCTTGAGAATGAAATGTTAGAGCAAGCCTAGACATACAAACTCACCAAACTCTTATTTCCAATTGACTGGCAAAAAAACTAGAAGTAGAGACATGGTTCAAGTGGTAGAGCCAGCTGTCAGAGCAAGAGGTCCTCAGTTCAACCCCCAGTACTGGTACACACACACACACACACACACACACACACGTGCGCGCGTACAGTGTAATTTATCACAAATCTGGCTTCCAGGTTTATTTAGACTCCAAAGCCTACAGTCTTCTCAATGTACCAGCTTGTGTCTTGGTGAGGGAAATATGGGCTTTTTTGTTCTTTTGGCTTTTTTGTCAGCACTTAAATAGTTGAAAGTGGTAAGTACCTGGAGGGAAAAGAAAATTTTTTCTGGGGTTAGAGGATATGATCAAGAAAAAATTATGGAAAGGTATCATTGGATTGGGTACTAAGTAGGACAGGATTTTCTGAAAAGAGGCTGTGTTTATAATTTTATACAAGGTTTATAGGAGATTTTTATAAAACTTTATAAATTTTAAATTTTTTATGAACGATTACTAACCTTTAAAAGATTTGGTTTTATATATTTTTATACATTGATTTTATAGGCTGTTTTAAGAAGTCTATGAAGGAGGCAGTTGTTCAACAGGATTCATATTGACATTCCACATTCAGTCTATACCAGTAGTTTGCAAAAAAAAAGTCAGCATACTGAAATGGACTGAAATGGTAAAATAAGTAATTGAAAAATATGAAGCATAGTTCCAGATAACCAATATTTAAACAAAAAGATATTAGGATTAATATTCTTTTCACTGTTGTTTTTATAAGTGGGCCTGAAATTTTGAGTTTTATCACACCAATATTAGTTATTAATTCTCTGGGAATGAAATATTTATAGGATATCAACCAGAATTAAGAATTTGTTCTCTGGTTCTTCTGTAGATAATGAAATGGTCTCCAGTTTGGCACTGCAGATGTCACTTTACTTTAACACTTACTTCTTCCCACTTTGGTGGGTGAGCTGCCTTATGATGCTTCACATGAAGGTGAGTCTGTCCTTCTTAACTTCTGCCCTTCCACAATATTGTTACATTGTCAGCAGCAGTTCTTTTTTTTTTTTGTCTGTGCTAGAGTATTACTAGATGTAAAAGTTTACAATCATGGTTTGCTTTTTTTTGTTTGTTTTAGTATTCAGTCTTGCCTGATTACTACAAATTCATTGTGATCACTGTTATCATCCTAATCACCTTAATTGAAGCCATCCGGTTGTACCTGGGCTACATGGGCAACCTACAGGAGAAGGTAGGCTCTTCTTCCCTTCCTTTCAATCCAATGCATTAACGCAGTAAGGTTTTTGCTTTTTTGTTTGTTTTTAATTTTGGTTTATTGTAAGGGTGATGTCAGAGGGGTTACAGCTACATAAGTAAGGTAATGAGTATATTTCTTGTCAGACATTGTTATCCCCTCCCTTGTTTTCTCCCTCTCCCTCCCTGCACAACTTTCCTTTCCCCTGCAGTAAGGTCTTTGTTCAGGTATAAGGCGTGAGTGTGGTAGAAAGACACAGGCCTGAGTTTAAGGTCTAGCTCCAACTTGACCATTTCTCCCACTGCAGTCTATTTGTTTAATCTCTTGAACTCAGGTTTCCTCATGTATAAGGAAAATAATTTTTATTTCCCAAGTTTGTAGAGATGAAGTAAGATCATTATATAAAGAACCAAAACAGAGTCAGTATACAATAACTGATAGTTTTCCCTCTTATCAGTCTTGAAAATATTTGACTAATTCATCATGTCTCTTTGGATCCTTAATGAGAAGTAGAGGGGAAATTGTTACACTTTTTTTTTTAATGCTAGGCCCATGTTTTCTGAATCATCATGCTGCCTAACCATCTATAATTTCTAGAATATTAGAATGTTTCTGTGGCTTTCTAGAGTTTAAATTGGCTCCTCTACCATATCTTACAGCATTTGAAAAACGTCTTGCCATGTCTTACCCAGCTCTCCAGGCCAGGCTGTGCTGGTTCCCAATCATACTCGCGTCACATTTGGTCACTTAGCCCTCTTCCATCTTCTTCTGCACCACTTTTAAGAGCCTGTATATATCCTTGAAGTCCTTCACCTGCCCTAATACTGTTAGTTCCTGTAGCATTTGGTCTGTACCTCTAAATGGTGCATTTAATTATTTACTAAAGTATGCTATTCTACAACTGTTTTCCCATTTACTTTTTTTTGTTGTTGTCAGTTGTGGGGCTTGAACTCTGGGCCTGGGCACTGTCCCTCAGCTCTTCAGCTCAAGGCGAGCGCTCTACCACTTGAGCCACAGGCACTGCTTCTGGTTTTCTGGTGATTAATTGGAAATAAGTCTTATGGACTTTCCTGCCCGGGCTGGCTTTGAACCACCATCCTCAGATCTCTCCTGAGTAGCTAGGATCAGGCATGAGCCACCAGCACCCAGCTTCCCATATACTTTTCTTGTCTAGACTAAGGCCTTTAAGGGGAATGATTGTGTCATATTCCTTTTGGCTTACTCCTAAAACCTATAATATAGATCCATAGTAGTACTAGGTACTTGTTTGTGTATATAAACAAAAAAACTACATTTTACTGATCTTACTATCCTTATGTGTTATCACTGCAGGTTCCAGAGTTGGCTGGCTTTTGGCTTTTGAGCCTTCTACTACAGCTGCCTTTAATTCTGTTCTTGCTCTTAAATGAAGGCCTAACAAATCTGCCCTTGGAAAAAGCAATACATATCATCTTCACTATTTTCCTCACTTTCCAAGTTATTTCTGCATTTCTTACCTTGAGGAAAATGGTCAATCAGTTGGCAGTTCGTTTCCATCTCCAGGACTTTGACCAGCTCTCTGCAAACAGGGGAGACATGAGAAGGATAAGGTCATGTGTAGAAGAGATATGATTCAATGCCCTTGGGTGAAAATCTGAAAGATGATTGTAGAAGACTGCAAGAGCTAGGAAAACATCAGGGATCCAGTGTAAGAAAAGAGACAAAGCAATTATTTTGAGATTATGCTTTCTAGCTCTGAAATTCCCAGGTTGCACAATGGTAAGGCTTCATATGGCTTGTGAAAGGTGTGAAGTATTCCTAAAACCTAGATGTTGTCTGCCTGATCTTGAATCTTCTTTTTGATATTGTCAACTTTTTCAGGTGTGTAAAAGTCGCAGCTTACTTGTTTTACTGTACTGTACTGAGTTAGAATCTGTAACTAGACATGTATGTATTTCTTTTAAACTTGTCAGTTATCCATATCTTGGCTGTACACCTGACCAAGTTTCTTGAAGCACACAGAAATGCTTCCTAGTCCATATGCATGTGTATTAGACTGTTTGAAAACTAAAAGACCAAATTTTCATGTCTGCTTGGGTTAGGTTCTGACCCAAGTCTTGGCTGTTATACTGCAGAAAAGAAGACCAGGTGGATGTTCATAGTATTATCTTGCCTTAGAATTGTAACTTTCATAAAATCAAGTTCAGTATTTGTGATGGTGGTGATGTGCAAAATTTTTTGACAATAAAGTATAAGCTATTTATGTTTAAAAAAATCAGCCACAAGCCATTTTTGTCTTGTGTAATCCTTTTGGCTATGGATTTCTATTAAAGCAATTCAAGAGAAGAGAAAAAAAATATATTAGAGATGCTTCTCTAGTATTTGTAGTAGGCAATTAGTCGGCACATTAAATAGACCCTTGTGATCTCATCTACTAGGTCACTGTTCTCTGAAGAAGTGCAACATACCTACTAAATTCACATGAGGCAGATTTGAAAACCCAGGTACCTATTAAGACACACAGCTAACATGGCCAAAGGGACTCTATCCCTCCTCCAAAATGAGATGTTCCCTTGTAAATAAAGGAACATATTTAAGGAAATGTGGTTGAGAACAAAGTTGCTTGGGTATATCTGAACATTATTTTGAAACAATTATTGGATTATCTTTAGGGACATATTTTTCTCTAGGATATTCTTTCCTATAGGTACATAGATATTTTTTAAGTAATGTATTTTACTGAGGGAATAGTTGCAGCAACATTACAAATCTTTCCCTCCAATTTTCTCTTTCTGAAATTCATGCTCACCTTAAGATCTCTATGCTTCACCTTACTTGGATGGGGGTAAAGTTTATGTGCGTGTGCACACGTGTGTGTGTGTGTGTGTGTGTATGCAGAGAAGTAGAGCTAGAACTCAAGGTGTTCTACCACTTGAACCATGTATCCAGACCTAGTCATTATCTAAAACTCTCACTTTCCAGTCACACCTGTCCTAACTGTTGTGTTCACTTAATTATTTCTGTTATTATTTTTTTATGTAATTTATTTTTTTGCCAGTCCTGGGGCTTGCACTCTGGGCCTGGTCAATGTCCCTAAGCTTCTTTTTTTGCTCAAGGCTACCGCTCTACCACTTGAGCTGCAGCTCCACTTCTGGCTTTTTCTATATGTGTGGTGCTAGGGAATCAAAGCCAGGGCTCATGCGTGCTAGGCAAGCACTCTACCACTGAGCCACCTTCCCAGCCCAGCCCTGTTCTTATGGTTATATATAAAGTTCAATTAAAAATGTTCTCCCACCTTGCTGGGCACCGGTGGCTCATGCCTGTAATCCTAGCTACTCAGGAAGCTAAGATCTGAAGATAATGGCTCAGAAAAGTCTGTGAAACTCTTATCTCCTGTAAACCACCAGAAAACTGGAAATGGCGCTGTGGCTCAAGTGGTAGAGTGCTAGCCTTGAGCTAAAGAGCTGAGGGACAACACTCAGACCCAGAGTTCAAGTCCCATGACTGACCAAAAAAAAAAAAAATTCCCACCTCACCTATGCAGTGGATAATTAATCTTTCCCTAAATCAAAGCAATCACTTGGTATACTATAATAATTTGAAATTCAAAACAGACCTCTCTTTAAATATTTTCCTGAAACTTATTGTTTTCTCTTATTTTTCAGATAGAAATAGGTAGGTGGCCCTATAAGAAAATATAAAGGAAAATTAAATCTACAAGGCAGATAAAGGGATGAAGAAAGATGAATTGTACTTCAATGTTTTTCCCAGAATTTTGTTTCAAACCTGAGGCTTTTCTAGCCTCAAGTTTAAAATATAGAATTAAGAAGATAATAACTAAAATTAATAATATATTAGTCATAATCATAAATTTTTTAAGATGATAAATTTTTTGAGGAAATTTATTTCCTTTATAATAAAAAAGTTCAGGTAATTTTGCCATAATAAACACATGACTTAAAATGCATGTAAAGTAGAAAAGGAAGAAACTAAGAATATAAATTAGTATCATGACAAAGTCATTTTTCTCTAAACAATAACCATGAATTTTTTGTTGTACCCAGACCCTGAATTTAAAGCCCCAGAACTGGCACACGCACACGTGCGCGCGCATGCGCGCGTGCACACACACACAAAATAGATATAAAAATAGAGTTGAAATTATAAGCAAAATTCTATGCCCTACTTTTTGGAAAATATATTTTCCTATGTTTTACATAGTCATATAACCATTATCTTAAATGTTTGCATAGCAAGAAAATGTACCATAAGTTATGTAACTCCTTTTGTTATGTAACTCTTGGATATCTCTGTTGCTTTTTCATGTACACATATATCCCTGCAATGAACATCTTGTGCACATTGTTTTTACATCTCTTAAATATATAAGCCAGATTTGCAGAAATGAAGTTTCTAAGCCATAAGATAGGAACATATTTAAGGACTCTTGATGGATATTATCAAATTTTAATGCCTTCTTTTTGCCATTCACTGTCCACAACTCTAAAAATAGTACAAGGAAAAATTTTGACAAGGACAGTCTTAGGAACTTGAGTTTCATGTTTCTCTTTGTATTGCTGAGTGCCACCACACGAATACTGAGTGTCCTGGGAGAAAAAAAAATTAAAGCTATGAAAAGAGAAGTGCAAACAAGGAAAAAATAGATTTTTGAATTAAGGAGAAACTGATAAGGGACAGGAAAGGGATTAGGCAAGCTGGTCACAGTCAGCGACAGTGAGATGTGACAATAAAAACTGGGTCATTGAGTTGGGACAGCCCTAGGACATAAAAAGACTGAAATGAAGTAAAGCTCTGGATTACTTTGTTCTTGAATATTGAATTTTTTCAGAAGCATAGAGCATGAAATATTATTGTGATAAGCCTAGATTGGAAACACAGCCAAGAAAAAAAGAGCTCTTTAAGGGATGGTTTCAATCGTGCTGAAGGAATAATTTGGTTTGGTTTTAAAACGGCTCAAAAAGTAAATTGACATAAAGCTTTTGCATAGCAAAATAGGTGTAGAGACAGGAAACAATGAGGAAGTAGAATAGTTTACCTGTACATTTATTAACATGCAAAGTATTAGATTTTGGTCAAAGAAAATGTTTGTCAGACGTAACTGCTGTATTTTGTATGTTCAACTAATATCAGTTTATTATAAGTATATATATTTTAGTTTTAAGACTTCAATTTTCAGGATTGTAAGCCAATAAGCATTATTTAGATATTGTAAGCATTATTTAAAATACACACTCATATTTTTAAACACTCAGGCCTTAGAAATATATGTTGAAATATAACTTAAGCCACTAAGTTTTCTTCTGGGCCGGTACTAAGGACTTGAACTCAGGGTCTTGTTTTCTCATTTGGCTTTTTCCCCTTAAGACTAGGACTCTACCACTTGAACTACAGCTCCAATTCCACTTTTTTGGTAATTAATTGGAGATAAGAGTTTCGTGGACTTTCCTGCCCCAGCTGGCTTCTGACTACAATCTTCAGATTTCAACCTTCTGAATAACTAAGATTACAGGCATGCGTCACCAGTGCGTGGCCTGCCACAAGGCTTAATATTTGGTGCATAGATTTGTATCTTCTTGAAAATGAGCACAAGTATTGGTGTGTAATGTTGAACCAAAATCACAAAATGACAGGATACACATCGCAGAAGATAGCATGGATCATATATTATGTGAAAGCCCAAAGACATTTGGAAATGTATCTTGGCAACATGATCAAGCTACACAACCCACAACTGAACACCTTTGTCTGGAGGGTCTTTTCTCTGAATGATGTATGCAGTCACATGGTTCGTGTCTCAGCTGAGCATCCTGCATTGTGGTATAGACTAGGTGTTTTCCCTTCAGCAACATTAAAAATGAAGGCCTTTAAAAACAACAATCAACCAAGAATGGCCTTGTCTTTAATTTTTCAAAACCTTAATAGCACCATATTTGCCAAATAGGAAAGTGGTATTATCAATTCATCACTAATGGTTTTTAGTTCCTGAGTTTGAGTTATTTATAGTTTAATTGAAAACACATCAGAGACACTGCTTGATAGTCAAGCCACAAAGAGAATAATACTTAATATTCAAGTTATATACACATTTAATAATGCTTTTATAAATGCTTGATTTATTATTGTCTAGAAATACTAAAATGACCACTAGAGAGACATAGAAGTTTAGGAATAGAAAGGCAACAAAAGTAGTAAAAGAAAAAAAAGGGGAGTGTCCCATGAGCTATTGTCATTATTTATTTTAATCCAATATCATGTTTATGTATGTAAAGACAGAGCCAGCATACTACAAAGACTGGGTAAAACTTTGGGGTGCAATTCCACTGCCCCTCAGCATTGAGCAGTATTTTCAGTCATTTCATGTTGATCCAAGCAGACTGGCAGTTACAGAAATGTGGGTTGCTTCACTTTTTAATGGAATTACCCTTTGTAGACTAATTAAAAGGATGTGCTTTACTATAGTAGGTCCTTGTGAAATGTTGTTTTCATTGCAATCCTATTTACCCCCTTGAAGTTACTAGAAGAAGAAGAAACTTCTGAGAAATGCAGCTCTATCATTATGCAAACATCATACAAACTAAGACAGTAACAGTATATAATCTTGGGTAATATAATCTTAGAGAACCATATTCTTATAGACAATTTGTCATTGACTGAAATGTCATTATTCAGCGCATGACTGTAATTGTGTCATTAATGTTATAATGATAATGCCATTTTCCATTTTGAAAATGAGGAAAACTGAGTCTCAGAGAGGTTGAATAAGTTAACCAAGATCACACAACTAATGACCGGCAGAATTCAGATTCAAATAGACACTCCAAGGCTTTCCCATGTAGTTCTGTTCTACAAGTTAATTGAGGTCCCATGGCTTGCAGGCACAGGAGATTCTAGGATGAGAAAGATGCTGTTCATATGTAGTCCAAGACTTGGAGTGCAGGAGGGAAATAAGGGCCTTGGTGTGGGGCTGAGCCGCCCTGAACCACACTCTGTCCCATTTCAAATGCCAAGAGGTACAGAGCAGAAGGCCAGTGCTGGAGCCAG